AAAACATTACTCATTTACTGCGATGAAAGAGATTTTATAGCGGTAAAGGTTTCCATAGAGATTGTTTGTTTGCTTGGACTTGTGGACTTGTGATGCCTGTTACCATCTCACAAAGTTGGCTCATAGTTAGTGAAAAAATGGCGGAAAAAAAGAAAACCATGACGGTCAGAGGAGGAAAAGATTATACTTCTGGAGGAATGCAATCATAGAAAGCACAAACTATAAAATAAATTTGATCCGCAAATACCAGAAAATGATTGTGGGACGAAACTTCAACGAAAATTAATTCAGTCAAATCTGAAGTGTAAAATCAAAAGTGTGTTGATTGCTAAGGTCTTTTGTGCAACGGTCTAGGGATTCCTTAAGTATAAGACAAAGACAAGAATAAAACCTTAAATACTTGAGTGAACATTTTAAAGAAACCATAAGGAGAGTGTTTTGTGCAACCGATTTTATTTCAAGGAAACCTTAACTAGGACTTTAAGGAAAATCTTACCTTACGGTGTGTTGTGCACCCGGCCCCTGGATTTTTACTTATAACGGAGCCTTTTTACACCATCATATTTCTACAACATCTACTTCTTTCACCACTCTTTTGTCTTGTGTCGACTATACTTCATACTATTTATTTTACTCTTCACACTGCTAATAAATTAGCATGCTAACGTTAGCTTTGCCAGTTGGTCCATGTACCCAAAAGCTTAACCTGGTAGTTAGTCGGTGTAAATATTTTGTGACAAGTAATCTCGATGTACTAACTAGTTTGTGTTGCCAATCCATTTTAATTTAGTGATATGTAAATCTACACTGGCTATGTTTAAACGCGGTGAAGTTTGAACTTACAAAGAGCTGATGCAAGTGAGTATTAACTCTGCTTCTTTCCTCTGCCCTGATCTCAGTGTGTGTGTTTTGAGTGACAAATTGATGCTGTGCAGCCAAACAATGTTGAAACCCACCAAAATGGACATCCCAAAGCTTCCAAAGATATCAAATATGTCCGGCAGAATTTGTGGGAAATGTGTTTAAACTGACGCAGTAAAAACCACTGAGTGTTGATATTATTTCATCTTTCACTCAGTGTAAACATCATACAGCCTTAATGGAGGCTGTGTGGGACAGACAGTGTGGGATGAGATGATTATTTCAACCTTAAAGATCCAAAAGGGGGAAACTGTAAGATATTTAACTGAGGTTAAATGAGGGCATGTTTGACTTCACTTCTCAGTATCAGATCATCTTATGTATGTGTGTGCAACATGCCATCTGTTTAATCAGGTGACAGCTGATATCTAAAAACAAAATGTGAGTTCTTTTCAGGAACATCTAGTGAGGAGTGAGACCCTGTTTCAGAGGTGGACCAAGGCATTGTTTTGCAAGTGGGTGAACTTGCAAGTGGTTCTCTCCGGGTACTCCAATCAGAAGACATGCAGATAAGGTTAATCGGTGACTCTAAATTGGCCGTAGGTGTGAATGTGAGTGTGAATGGTTGTCTGTCTCTTGTGTCAGCCCTGTGGCAGTCTGGTGACCTGTCCAGGGTTAACCCGCCTGCCCACGGTGCACCCGTCCCCAGCCCCCCCATGACCCCCAAGAGGATAAGCAGTTACGGAAAATGAATGAATAATTGAACTACAACTTAAGTCCTAAACTTTGAGTTTTGAGTCCTTAAGAACTATACATGCGCCCTTCATCAAATGTAATTTTAACAGAATAATACATTAAAAAAAAAAAAAAAAATCATGAATAGTACTTTTTAAAATTTAGACTTATTTGTTAAGAAGGGTGCACAAACCTGCACATTTTGCATACTGCAATTTGTTTTTTGTTGACCTCGATGTAGTTTTTGTAAGCACATGAAATAACATTTGGAAAAAAATTTCTCAACGCAACTTGATTGGATGCTGTCTGATTGGTTCAAGCGAAGTGGATCTAGCGAATTAAGTGCCAACTTGCAGAAAGTGGATTTTTTTAACGTTAGTTCATTCAGGAAATTAAGGGAAATTAATTGATTCGTGGCACACTTTAAGTCACACTAATGTTTGGGCTTGGGGGAAATCAAGTATCGCGTATTTTCAAGTCAAAAGCATAAAGCGAGGTCGGAGCAAGCTAACGAGTCATTGGTGTTGAAGTCCGAGGCAAATTGCCAGTGTTGCCATTGCGTCAGCAAATTTGTGACTCGAGTCTGACTCAGGTCCACACCTCTGCCCAGTTTCAGATGGTCGGTCTGGTTCGGCTCAGGGATGAATCTATGCACAATCATTTGGGTCCATAAACTGTCAGAAAACTGTTAAAAATGCCAATTACAATTTCCTAAAGCTCAAGGAGATGTCTTCAAATTGACTGGCGCCCTGAACCAAAGACAATCAGTTTATTATTACCAATTAGAGCAAGAAAAGCAGCACATTTGAGCTGAGCCTTAGTCATGTTTGACATTTATGCCTGACAAATGACTGATTATCAAAACAGACAGCCACATAACTGAAACAAATTTTATAATAACTGATTATGAATCATTTATTCATTGATTATGAATTTGATAATAGATTCATTGTAATTTGCCAGAAATTCACTGGTGATTGTAAACCGGATATTTTCAGGTTTTAAAATGAGCCAAATTAAGTCATCACTTTGGGCTTTAGGAGAATGTTTTTTCTGTTTTCACAACAATTAGTTAACTCACAAAGGTGAAAATAAGTGTTGCAGACAACTTGATTAAACAACAGTTTGAGCTCTGGCTCTGACACATTTTGTTTTCTTCTACAATAAAGCCTGAATAATCCATTGTTTATCAGATCCCATCAAACAGCAACACAAGGAGTAGCAGCTGAATGATTCTGACCTCTTCAGAGTTAAACAGCCTCACCCAGTCTGGGTTTAACTGTGGCTTTGACTCTGAACACAGCCACAGCACGTTTAAGGAAAATTAGCCATGTTTTCTCTCCACCAGCAGCTAATAAACCAACCGTCGTAAACAGTCAGGATGTTTTGTTTGAGCCAGAACACATTCTGTACGTAACGTGCATTTTCTTCGGGTCATCTTCCACATCAGTCTGTTTGTGATCAGCGTAGAACTGAGGTGACTGGCCTATTAATGATTAGTCGACCTTCTACAAAATTTACCAGGAGCTATTTTGACAATTGACTGACCATTTATGAGGCAAAAATGTCAAACACTCTCTAGTTTCTCAAATATGAGGATTTCCTGCCTTTCTGTGGATAGTAAACAGGATGTCTTTGGGTTTTGGCCTGCTAGTCGTGCAAAACAAGCACTCTGAAAGACATTATCTTGTCTATTGTTTTTTATGTACTTATTTTTTACTTATTCAGTGTTTTATAGACCAAACATTTGATTGATGAACCATTAAACTAATCAAAATGCAGATAACTGTTACTTGCCGCTGGACAATTTATCACTGTCGTGATGTCAGACTAGATATCATCTGAGATTTTGGATAATTTAGTCTTGTAAGTTTTGTCTTTTCCGGGTTTTAAAGGTACGGTGTGTACGATTTAGGGGACATATTGGCAGAAATTGAATATATTATAATAAGTATGCTTTCTTTTGTGTGTAATCACCTGAAAATAGGAATCACTGTGTTGTCATTACCTTAGAATGAGCTGTAAATACCTACATAGGAAGCAGGTCCTCATCCACAGAGTCAGCCATGTTGTACCGCCATGTTTCTACAGTGGTTCAGAATGGACAAAAACCAAACACTGACTCTAGAAAGAGACACTCAGTTTTTTGCCTTTTCACATCCTGTAGTTAACAGCCTCTAGGCAATGAGCAAAACAGTGTTGGAAAAACACTGATTTTTAACACGGAACTGCTTTATTCAGTGTTTTTACCGGTTTAAATCATGAGGTCCGTTTCTTTTGAAGAGGAACAGACTTCTGCAGATAATTTGGCTCCCGGTTAAGACATCCTGGGAAGACATTAGTAGGTGCTGGGCTAGTGGCCCATCGGCAATGAGCCGAACAGTGTTGTAAAAACACTGATTTGGAACATAAAACTCTTATTAGTGTTTTTCCCAGTTTAAATCTGGTCCGTCTGGATAATTTAAATCTGGTCCGTCTGGATAATTTGGCTCCTGGTATAAACCTCCAGAACAAAGAAGACTGGAGAACTCCTAACAGCGAGTTCATGCTTTGCACATTGGAGAAGTTTCAGCTGGTTGCTATCTGCAATTCTCACCACTAGATGCCACTAGATCCCACACACTGTTCCTTTAAAGGCTGCATTTTAGTAAAGTGATGTCATTTTCTGAACATACCAGGGTGTTCTTGTTGTTCTATTTGCCTTTACCCATTTAATCATGACGTCCACATTACTGACGGTTATTTTTAAATGATCTCATTGTGTAAATACAGTGTGAAAGCACCAATAGTCAAACCTACAATACCGGTGCAATATCGATATTGATGTATCTGGCCCAAAATATGGTGATACTTGATTAGTAGCAGCCCTATCAGAGGCCACTCCAGTTCAGTCCCTTTACTGTGACTCCACAGAGGGTACCTAGGTGATGATGAGGTTGACTGACCTGATGACTGTCACCCAGTGATTCCCAGCTGAGGGAGAGACACTGACTAGATGCAGTGACGAGCTGCACAAATGAGCCCTCAGCACTTCCTGAGAGGTGTTGTCACAAAGCAAAACTCAAGTTGGAGCATGCATGATGGAGTAAGAGACAGAAAGAAGGGGGGGTGGACTACACCTTTAGCCTACAGTGTGCAGATAAGCTTAGCCAGAGAGAGTAATAAACCCTCTTCTTTCCCCTCTGCTTATGATAAGGTATGCAGGGAGCAGGAGTTGCGAAATCTCTCTGGCTACAAGCTTTACAGATAGACTCCTGCTGTTGTCTCAAGATTACTTAACCCAGGCCTGCCATGAAAAAACACAGAGTGCCGTGTACATATTGTGTCGACGAAAACAACAGCAGGGCAGCCTACTCTTAAGCCATGTTGAAGGTATTCTCTGCTTGTGTCAGCTGTCAACTTACCCACAGATCTGTTCCCCAGTCCATGTATGCAGAAAAGTTGAGTTGTTTAAGGGAAAGCAGGAATCCTTCTTCAAAGAAAGAAACAACCAGGTGGTGGTGGAGGAGGAAAACCCAGATATATACTCCTCTTGTTACAGAGATTCCACAAAACTTTGAGTCTCGAAAGCGGAGATGGCGGAGGAAATGTTTGGAGGAAGTCTACGCCTTCTCCTTGGCACGGACACGGCCGTCCTGTTTCTTCCAGCCTACCAGAGAAAAAAAAATATGTTCAGGCGCTTTTTCCTGAAACAAGTTGGAGTCCCTGAGAGAGGGAGAGACAGATACAGAGAGGAGGGAGGAGGGGGAGGGAGGGAGGAGCGGTGGGAAAACCTACCAGCAGCGTCTCTGTTTGTTTTATCTTAAAGGAGCAGTTATTTTCATCATAAATGCTCCGGAACTTCTAAAACACATCCACACTGTCCGGCTGTGACACGGTTACACTCACTTATGACGTCATATAGCACCTGAGAAAATAAACTCAAATAAATGATTAACTGTACAAAACAACTGCCCTGAATAAATCAAAGCCTTGTAAAACACTGCTGATATATTTCATTACACCATGGTCCTTGATAATACTCGATTCTGATTGGCTGCAGGTCTATTAAAATGAATGTGCACCTACAAAGTAGTTCCGGTCAAACTGTCTTTTTACCGTCATAAATTAATGCGCTGGCTATGAGTAACCATACACTGTGCATATCTTTATAAAGGAAACTATAAACTACACTATAAACTATATTTCATAGCTCCTTGGATTTATATGCAGTCTATGTTTACAACAGATGGGACTATCAGACCTTGCCATGTATTTTAACATTTTGACATTTATGGATTAATGCCACTGATTTAACTTTCATCTAGCGCCACCGGCAGGTCAGAATATTCTCTCATCCAGCTGAATATATATCTGCAATATAAATTGGCATAAAAATTGGTACATATTGCCAACAGGATGAGTCCTAACTCTAGTGAGGCTCACTGGTGGAAAGCTCATTTACTCAAGTACAGTTTTGAGCTATTATTGCACCTTTTTTATATTAATTCAGTTGCAAAGTACATTTCAGATTACAAAAAAAACATATGTTCATGTCATAAAATATGATGCATAGAGATTAAAATAGACTAATGTAGATTAGACCAATTCATCTCCACCTCCAGCTACATGCTGTTCAATAACTGACAGTGGATATTCTGCATATTGAGTAGGCTGCTTTCACTTTTAAAGTATATTTTGTTGATAATATATGTGCACTTTTTTATAAGTAAGATTTTCTAATGCATTTCACTGGTAATGGAGTATTTTCACAGTGTGGTGCTGATACTTAGTAAATGACCTGGATACTTCTTTAACTTCTTCTGTGAGCATACGAGTTTCCTTTTCAAAAAATAAATACATGACGATCTTTGAAAACTCTAGAAAATCTTTTCACAACATTTACTGCTGACTCGTCAAAGACTTTTCTAACCATCTGAATGACAAAAATAATTCAGTCTTTTGCACGGAACATAAAAAAGTCAAATATTAATGCTTTGTTTTGGACGGAAAATATAAGATATAGAAAAGAAAAATGAGCAAAATATAAAGATGAAAATAAAATGTTTAGAACCAATAATCTAATCGTTTTATTCAGTTATTTAATTTTTATTCTGGTATGCTTTTTTTAATGTCATGACACGTTAATTGTGTCAAACACTCTATGAAAAGCGTAAAATAGTAATAATAATAATTTAAAAAGTATCTGAAATACTATTTCGGCCAGTTCTAGTAGATGTCCTCCTCTTCATCCAGCACCATGTCGGTCCATATGAGATGACGTCAGCCTACCTGTCGAGACCACACCTGTTCCTCCCATCAAGACAAATGAGGATGTGCTACACAATGGCGACATCGTGCGTTTAGTTAACATGCGTCCTGTCTGACATTAACCTGAACACGTGGTTCAAACTGAAGTTATCAAGTTTCAACGTTTTACCATTGTGCATGTGTCAGATGATAACATGAAGATTAATTATTGTGTCATGCATGTAGCTGTTATAGAGCCCCAGATTTGTAAAAAAAAAAAAAAAAAAAAAAAAAAAAAAAAATTATCAGGGAAGTCAAACATGTACAAAAAATATAAGCAAAAAGCGTTTGTCTTTTTTATTTTTTCCATATATTTCTTTAACTGCCTCAAAACTGTTAATAATTCCACTCCACTACATTTCAGAGGGAAATATTGTACTTCTTCCTTCATTCTTTGACAGCTTTTTTATTACCCCACTTTACAAATTCAGATTTTTGCACACAAAACATTTGAGTTTATGAAATATGTTTTTTTTAAATAAATGAACCTACCTAACAGTATATATGCAGGTACAGCTGAAACGACTAGTCAATTAATCTACTGTTAAGTCAATTTACAGAACATTTAGAAGATGTTGAACATGTCATGATGTGAGGAGTTGCTGCTTTTCTTTTTATTTGAATTGTGTGAATTATTTTTTAATTCATTTTAAAATACATAATATAATAATGTTAAGGTTTGGACTCTTGGTTGGACAAAATAAACACAATGAAGGTGTCACTGTGGGCTCTGGGTGATTGTGACGGCATTTCTCACTATTTCAGAAATTTTATGAACCAACCAGTAAATCGATTCAACATATTCATAATCAGTTCATAATAAGATATAAGCTGTAGTTGCAGTATTGCACAAAATAGTTGACTGGACTCATCCTCAACTAACTACAGCGGTAAAATCCTGCATTTACATGAATTCATGATTAATAATTATATAACATAAGAGTCACAGGGGACATTTTTCTGCATTGATTACTTTTACTTTTTGTACTTAGTACATTTTTCTGCTTATACTTTTACTTAAGTAACATTTTCCTTGCATGACTTTTACTTGTAATGAAGTATTTTTTACAGTGTGCGAGTAGTACAATTACTTAAGTCAAGGATCTGGATACTTTTTCCACCCATTGAATAACTACGACAATAACAACAACAATAATCATCACAATAATACTGTATAAGAATAAACTTTATTCATTTATGTCTTATCAAAACTGACTGAAAAAGACTGAGGCTGAATAATCAGTAAAAATGAATGCTGTGTAAAAACATGTGGAGCAGATGCAATAAGGAAAACAGACATTTCATTTTTCTAAACATCTTGTTTTCATTTTCAACTTTGCTTATTTTGGTTAAAAGGAATCTCAAGCACATCCACATGAAGATAATGATCTGATCTTCATCGCAATAGTCTTGAGGGAGCTTGTGCCCTTCCATGTGTTCCAGATGACCTGGACACTGGAGTATGCAATGACATCGTGAGGCGCGTACATGCCGGTGGGGTTAGCATTGTGGCAGTTGTTGTACCAGAATCCACCGAGATAATGCTGAGCGCAGTTTTTATCCCACTGGTCCTGGTCTTTGTCAAATGTGGTGAACTTCATGTTGTTGTGGTGTGCCAAACTGTCCCCTGCAGACAAAAACAGTTTTAGCTGAAATACAGTTCATGTTTAAAACTCAGAAACATTTCTTCTGCTGCTACTGTGTTATCATTTTGGCAGTGGATGATTTATGTTACCTTGTGTAGACTCAAGTACAGTTCATGTATGTGCCTTAAATAATGGTGGAGTACACCAAAGTACACTAAAGTACTGAAGATTCATGAAGGTCTGAAGGTCATGGTAATCCTAAGTGCTGTATTGTAGGCACCTACACTTGCTTGAGTTTCTTATAGATGTTTCACCTCTCATCCAAGAACTGAAGAAGCCTCTTGGATGAGAGGTGAAACGTGAAACTCAAGGTGGTGGGGTACTTCTACTTAACTTGAGTATTTCCATTGCATACAAATTTATACTCTACTTCACTATGTTTTAAAGTCAAATGTATGTTTTACTCCACTACAAACATTTAACAGGTTTAGTTGCTTTTAAGATCCATATTTTACGTTAAAAAAAAAATTGATACGCTCATAAAATACAGTTAACTGTCAAAGATTAAACCAGTGTTTTCCATTCTTTTTGGTTTGTTAGCAGCTCCATCAAAGAGACACTTCCCCTCTAAACCTCTCACATAGTTTAACTTCAACTACTGTTTGAGGCTCAAAATAGATAAATTATCCAATATTTCACAAAAGAAACAGATTAAAGTCTAAAAGAAGAATATCAATCTATGAAGCAAAACTTTCTTTTCTACGCCATTAATCATCTCAAGTCCTCTCAGATGTATCTCGAGTCTGAGGAGGGAGCCTGACCCCTATAGGTTGAGAGCCACTGGACTAAACTACCTAAATGTTCATATATGAAGTAGCTAAAGTAGCTCCACCAGCTGCTAAAGTAAAATCATGGATGTATAAAGAGAACTAGATACAGCGCTGGAGGCAGAGTCCCCTTCACTGCTATGAAAGTTGCTCAGTGATGAATGACGCCAAAAAAGTTCAGCTGCGGCTCCTCTAGACTTTCAAAATGAATCAAGTCCACATAGTGAAACAATCCATTTCACAGTGGTTGTGACACTGTTTTGGGGCTCCAGGGCATTATGTGACGGATGTAATTACACTATTTGGCCACTATAAAAATTGTTGTCAAAGCCTGTCGCACTTCCTGGGGGTCGGACTGAATGCTGCTTGAGCAGAAACGCATTAGACCCTGATCACCAGAATGCGTAGCTAGAAATGCATCACCAGCAAAATCATTGTTTTTCTATGCTATGGCGTGCCTCGTGTGCACTCCTTTCTTGTAGTTGCATTTTTCTAGCCGATTTTTAGTTGCTTATAAAAGATAAAATATTCTCAACTTTTCAGAGGAAGGCACAGAGTTGCATCACTCTTCACTGTCACACTTGGCCCAGGCAGCCAATCACACCAACAAGAAGCAGGATGTACTACTGTTTTGATGTTTGATGTTCAGATGTGGTAGGAACAGTGGGACAATGGCAAATGCAGACAAAAGGTTGATATTAGCTCTATGTAATTACAAAGGAGGACACAGCATTATTTAAATATGAAATGGCAAACTCTCACACAGAGTTGCATGAGCAGTCAGGTGAATCCCTCTGGTGAGTATAATGCTGTTCACTATGCTGATAGATAGGCTAGCGAGCTGTTAAACTGTGAGAGAGCTGCAGTGCTTTTACTTTTGATACTTTAAGTACATTTAGCAAATAATACTTCTGGAAATCTGGGTGGGGAGTTGCAGGCTTTAAACCCTGTGTTTAGGGTTTAAGGGTTGTGACTCCCCACCAGTCAGTTAGAACTGAAGAAGCTTCATGGAT